TTCTCTTCTCCAGGCTAAACATCCCCAGCTCCCTAAGTCGTTCCTCCTGGGGCATGATTTTCAGACCTTTCACCAGTTTGGTCACTCTCCTCTGGACACGCTCCAGCTTGTCAGCATCCTTTTTGAATTTTGGTGCCCAGAACTGGACATAGTATTCCAGGTGAGTTCTGACTAATGCAGAATAGAATGGCACTATTACTTCCCTTGATCTAATGATCTGTCATATTTGGCTTTTTTGGCTGCTGCATCACACTGTTGACTCATCATATCATATATTGCTAAGGATGCTTGGCCAAGGTCCTACATGAAGGAGACAAGAGGAACTTTATTCTCACAGAGTTCCATGCCAGTTATACAATGCCACCTCATTGCATCTTGTGGGGTGGGCTGCGTTACTGTATGACTGAATGTGCAGCCAAATGTGAAATGCACAGCTGCAGTGCACAAGGTATATATGTGTGCAAGGCATGATGCTCAATGCACCTATGCAATGGCATCATACATACAACTCTGGTTCATAGAATCATAGACTTGAGAGGACCATCTGGTCCCACTGTTGTTGCTGGGTTTAAATTACCATAAGCCCAAGACAGCCTGGCACAACAATGATGTATGATCCGTCAACATCTGGAATGTTACATCTGGAATGCCACTGCTGGACTAAAACATGTAGGAGAACCAAATTCCAAGTTTGAGGTTTAGATTCTAGACCTGGTTAGCCTTGGTTGGAATCAAGCTGTGAACAGTGCTTCTATTTTTCTCACTGTGACACTCCTAATAATAGAGCCCCATGCGATTCTGACTGTGGTGGAGAGATATTTCTGATCTATTTCTAGCATTTGAAAATCTTAGCTTAAATAGTGGATGCCGTTTGGTAAATGGCATCTGCCACTGAGTACCTGTCGAGAGGACCTCTGCTCTCATTGGATAGTGCTTAGTTGAACAAAAATTGAACATCATATCACGGATTACTTATTTAATGCATATAAATCCTGACTGATGCTAACTCTAATACAGTCAGCCCTCCATATCCATGGATCCTTTATTCACGGATTCAAGCATCCATGGCTTGAAAATATTCAAAAAAATATATAAATTCCAAAAAGCAAACCTTGATTTTGCCATTTTATATATGGGACACTCTTTTACTGAGCCTCTATTTAATGAGATGTGAGCATCAATGGATTTTGGCATCCACAGAGTGTCCTAGAACCAAACCCCAGCAGATACCACAGTACATATCTTTCCCTTGCCCTCTCATTCATATCCTGACTAACTCTAACTCCATTTCTACCTCTCTTCTATCTCTCAGTCTGATTAATTCTCCTAACCACTCAAACTCTTAAACACCATCAATCTCTCCCTAATCCTGTTGTTGTTGTTGTTGTTGTTGTTGTTGTGGGCCTTCGTTTCCGACTTATGGCAAGCCTATCATGGGGTTTTCTTGGCAAGATTTGTTCAGAGGGGGGTTGCCATTGCCTTCCCCTGAGGCTGAGATCATGTGACTTGCCCAAGATCACCCAGTGGGTTTCATGGCTGAGCTGGGAATCGAATCCTGATCTCCAGAGTCATAGTCCAACACTCAAACCACTACACCACACTGACTCTCATAACTATATTCCCTTAATTTATCTAATACATGAACAACATTTCCTGCCCAAATGTTCCATAAAATCACAACACCCTTTTACATAGACTAAATCAGATGCCAATATGTCTCATATTTTGGAGTGTGGGTCCTTCATAAAGACAGAAAAGTGGCATTGTGTAATTTATGAATGTGGACAAAATGTCAGTCTTGCAGAAAAATACATGGCTAAGTGAACTGAAATCAATACTTGCATTTGGTATTTAGGTAGAACAGAAACCTGTCAATACTGACTTCCTGATTGGGAAATCTGCATGTTGTGACTTTCAGCTGTCCCTTATTGCTATTTTGAAAACCTGGCAACACCACACAACATCCACTTCAGCTCTGGTACCACAACAAACTACAATTCCCAGAATTCCATAGCATTTTTTCATTATTTTTATTCATTCATTAGAATAAAAAATAACACATATTGAAAGCAAATAAAAATAAATCTTCTCTTTGTGTAAACTTCCATACAGTTCTTCACTCAAATACCATTGATTTTCTCTTTAACATTTTAGCCTCAATTTAGTCTCTAACAATCGCCATCCATCTGTTATTACAATCCTAAATTATATAAAGTCCTGTAGAGAGAAGTTGTTCTTCCTTCTATAGCACAGAAATCTTAAATATGAAGATTTCTAAGCTTTATATATCCTTTAAATCTTTACATCTTTTCCTGCTATTCCTCTTGAATATGTTTGCTAATATGTCAATATGTTTAAGTCTTTACATATTTCTCTTCTCTTCCTCTTGAATATGTTTTGTTATCCATTCAGAGAATTCCATAGCACTGAGCCATGGCAATTAAAGTGGTGTCAAATTGGATTATTTCCACAGTGCGGATGCAACCCTGGGGGCGAACTTCTCCAACAATTGGATCATTGGTGCTGGTAAATTCCTTCTCTGTCACCTGCATGCCACTTTTCCAGAACCCAATCCAACCAAGAAGCACTTTTTCGGGGATTTGTAGACCAGCACATCTGGAGGGCACTATGTTCAGCAAGGCTGCACTGATGTTTGCTATAGATTTTCAGTTTGGGAAAGTGCTGGGATGACATTTCAGCACCATGGACAGCAAGAGCATCTCACCTGCCATTCCAGTACCATGGGAAGCATCAGAAAGTTCAGCCAAGACAGAGGGAATACACACACACAAACACACACCATTTTAGCTTGTTTTCTGAATAGTTGGAGGCAACAGAAATGAACTAAAGAAGATCTGTGGGAATAACTGCTGCCTCTCTTCAAAGCACACAAAAGCTCTTTGGCTTTCAAAGGACCCTGGGGTATTCAGAACCATATTTTCACTCTTTTACTCTCCGACTTTCCTCCCTGCTTTTATGCTTTCTGGGGGTAAAGAACCTAAATATTTCCTGTTGCCATGCAATACACATATACACACATACACAACCAGCCCACCCTGGGGTGGAGTAGGATATGGTTTTATTTTATGCATGCAAAAGAGACTGATTTTTCCTTGCAATATTTCAAAGCCAGGCCTACGTCTCCCACGGCTCTCTGTAGTTTCTCTTTCCTTCTCCTTCCCAACAGCAGCAGATTTCAAGTGATGAATCTCCATCCTTGGTTTGTGCACCAGTAAGATATTTTGAGACCTGAGCACAAAAATCCGCCATCGGTGACAAAGGCTGCCTGCGTTTGGCAAATGCTGCTTTCCCCTTTGAGCTAGACAGAAGGTGGGTGCGAATCCTTTCTCGTTGCCACTCCTTGGGTTTATTGAAAGCTACATGGAAAACACTGACTCTTCACAAATATTTACCTGCTTCTTATATCTGATAAACGAGGGAGAGTATTAGAGAGACAGCATGGTGTAGTGGTTTGAGTGACGGACTGTGGCTCTAGAGACCAGGGTTCAATTCCCTGCTTGGCCATAAAGCCCACTGGGTGACCTTGGGCAAGTCACATACTCTCAGCCTCAAGGAAGGCAATGGCAAACCTCCTCCGAACAAATCCTGCCAAAAAAAACCCTGTGATAGGTTTGTCTTAGGGTTGCCATAAATCAGAAACAACTTGAAGGCACACAACAACAACATTGGAGAGCCAGCATGGCATAGTGGTTTGAGTGTTGGAGTATGACTCTGGAGACCAAGGTTCGATTTCCACCTCAGCCATAAAACCCATAGGGTGACCTTGGGCACATCACACTCTCTCATCCTCAGGGGAAGGCAATGACAAACCTCCTCTGAACAAATCCTGCCAAGAAAAACCCATGATAGGTTTGCCTTAGGGTTGCCATAAGTCAGAAATGACTTGAAGGCACACAACAAGAACAACAACAACATTAGAGAGCTAGCATGGCATAGCGATTTGAGTGTTGGAGTATGACTGGAGACCAGGGTTCAATTTCTGCTTCAGCCATGGGTGACCTTGGGCAAGTCACACTCTCTCAGGCAATGGCAAACCTCCTCTGAACAAATCCTGCCAAGAAAACCCCATAATACGTTCACCTTAGGATCGCCACAAATCAAAAACAGTTTGAAGGGACACAACAACATTAGACTCAAGAGACGCGGCTTTTTAAACACACACACATGCACAGAAGCAGTGTGATGTAGTGGTTAGGACAAACAAATTGTGTATGGGTGACACACATCTCCTGGCTGTTCTTTTCATCTTTGTAGCCAGTCCACTCTGCTTTTTATGGCTGTTGAATTCCAGTGGTACAGTTGCAGCAAACTCCCTACCAAGTTTGGAGTGATTTGTTGGGAATTGTGTTCCCAGAAACATAATTCTTCTCTAAAACAAGCAGGGTTAATTGATTTAAAATAAACCAAATGACTTTTTAAAGAATACACTCCCAGTATTTCAAAATTGATTACACTGAGCCCTTGGTATCTGCTGGGGTTTGGTTCCAGGACCCCCGTGGATACCAAAATCCATGGAGGCTCAAGTTGCATTATATACAATGGCATAATAAAATAGTGTCCCTTATATAAAATGACAAAATCAAGGTTAGCTTTTTGAAATTTATATATTTTAAAATATTTCCAAGCCGTGGATGCTTGAATTCGTGAATTAAAAAAAATCCGTAGATACAGAGGGCCAACTGTATTCATATATAGTTTTCAAAGTCTAGCTATTATTACTGTTTTCCAACCCTCTGTCTTAATGGAACATCACGGACTGTTTGAATTAAAACACTGAAACTTCTAACAGTTTATTTGTCATTGTGTGGATTTGTCAGTCTTTGACACTCAGCAGAATTTGCAGGGCATTATTGGCAGTTCTTCATTTTTAAGGACAGTATCCAGTGTCAGTTGCTTCTTTTTGCTTCAACAACAGTGTGAAAGGAATCTTACACACTCCAGAACATGAGACTTCTGGGAAGAGTTTAGAGAAAGGGTTTGAGCACCACCAAGACCCTCCATAAGCCAAATTAGTTTCCAGGGGCTGTAGGTTTCTCACCCCTCTAATAAAGCTTTTGTCAATCAATTTACTTACTATGCAAAAAGATCTTGTGTGGCACCTTTGAGATTAACTGAAAGAAAGAGGTTGGCAGCATGGGCTTTCTGTAGATTTAAGTCTACATCCTCAGATACAGTCATGTTTGTAGAATCAGAGACGTAGAGCAATCTTGTAGCACCTTTGAGACTCACTGAAAGAAAGAAGTTAACACCATAAGCTTTCATAGACTTATGTCTACTTCCTCAGATGCATTTGATGCATTTCCTCAGACCAAATGCATCTGAGGAAATAGACTTACATCTATGAAAGCTCTTGTTGCCAACTTCTTTCTTTCAGTTAGTCTCAAAGATGCTACAACAGGGGTAGGCAACCTTTCCCCTTTAAGGGCCGAGGGACTTCAGCTCCCAGAATCCCAGGAGATATTGGCCAACATGGGACTATTGGCCAACATGGCTGAGGCTTCTGGGAGCTGAAGTCCCTCGGCCCTTAAAGGGGAAAGGTTGCCTACCCCTGTGCTACAAGATCTCTCTACATACTGATTCTACAGACTAACATGGCAATATCTTTGAATATGTATTCCATATTCTCTCCAAATGCATCTAAGGAAGGAGACTTTAGTTTACGAAAGCTCATGCTGCCAGCTTCTTTCTTTCAGTTAGTCTCAAAGGTGCTACAAGATCTCTCTGCAGTAGACTTAAATATGCGAAGGCTCCTGCTGCCAACTTCTTTCTTTCAGTTACTCTCAAAGGGGCTACAAGATCTCTCTGCAGTAGACTTAAGTCTACAAAAGCTCCTGCTGCCAACCTCTTTCTTTCTGTTAATCTCAAAGGTGCAACAAGATCTCTTTATTTACTGATTTTACAGACTCACACGAGTATATCTGTGAATTCTGCAATTTACTCACTGGTGCACACAGCCCTCCTTGAAATATACCAAGGGTTAACTTCAGCTGGCTTGCATGCATGGCTGCAGTTCAGGGTGTGTGTGTGTGTGTATGTCTGTTTTTCCCTTTCCCTTTTTCCTTTTTTGCTAATGCAAGCACTTCAAGTTGCTCTCAAGGAAAGAAAAGAGGGGGGTTCCAACCCACAAGGCAACAGAAGCCTTGGCATATATACTGTAACACTGTTCAGAAGAGGAAAAGGAAAAGAAAAACCCAGAGAAAGAAAGAAAGAGTGGCTTCACTGACCCCTTTGGCTGGCAGCCTGGGGGTTTAATTAGCTGTGCAGTTCAGCATGCAGCAAGCTTTGGGTGTTGAACCGTACCCGGCATTTGGTAATGATAAAGTCATCCTCTGATAAATAATGCACCTCCTCCTATCGGATGAGCACTCGGCAAGCTGATGTCATCCAGTTGACCTCTGCTTGGGCTGTTTGTTTTGGGAGATCAATACGAATTATCTGTTTCAGTGGTAAGAACCTTCTCAGGTGCTTGGAACTGACTGGGGGTGGGAAGGTGGTAAATTCCTGGAAAGGCAGCATGCGGGTATGTTTGTGTGCCTCTATGATCTCATCCCTTTCCATGCCTTCCTTCCATTAGAACCTTACAGCCGACTGGGCCGCATTTAGACTTTTCTATGTCACGAAAGATTCTGGGATATATGCCAGGGGACACAATCTGGCCAATAAACTCCCCTAAAAAAGCACCGGTTACTTCTGTTGCACACTTATTTACTTATAATATTTATATTATATAAGCCATTCTATTCCCTATTACCATGTATGGATGTGAGAGCTGGACAGTTTAGAAAGACGATAGGAGGAAAATCAATTCATCTGAGAAAGACAAACAAATGAGTCCTAGAGCAGATCAAGCCAGAAATCTCCCTAGAAGCCAAGATGACTAAGCTGAGGGTGTCGTACCTTGGTCACATCATGACCAAGACATGAATCATTGGAGAAAACAATAATGCTGGGAAAGGTGGAAGGAAGGAGAAAGAGAGGAAGGCTGCATGCTAGCTAGATGGATGGTATGAAGGAGGTCACAGGTATGAATCCGTAGGACCCAAGGAGAGCAGTGGAGGTCCTGGAGATGTCTCACCCACAGGTCAAGATTGACTCGAGGGCAGTTAAGAAAACAAATATTTATATGCTTGTCCTTGTGTGCCTTCAAGCTGTTTCTGACTTATGGCAACCCTAAGGCGGAGCTATCGGGAGTTTTCTTGGCAAGATTTGTTCAGAGGAGGTTGACCTAAGGCAGGGGCAGGCAACCTTTTTGAGACCTGGGCCGGTCTCCCGTAGCCCAGGTCTCAGCTGGGCCAAGGGGGGGGGGTGGCGGCGCGCGCGCGCGCGCGTGCACACCCTCCGCACCGTGCACGACCCCCCCACGGCAGCCTTTGTTGCTGGGGGGCCGGGGCAGGGGGCAGGAAAGGGTGCGGGGGCCGGATCCCCCTTGGGAGGCGTCCCCCGGTGGCTACGGGCCCCCTGGAAGCCCGTTGCCACCGAGGGTCGCCCCGAGGAGGCTTCCCTCCATTGCCAATTCCCAGGATCCTCCAGTCAGGATGGCTAGTGCCCATGCTTGGTGGGGTGTGGGGGAATTATGGGAGTAGTCCTTCCAAAAGTAGCTTTCCAAGTGTGGATTCAGACTAGGCAACAAGTCTCCTCCAGCTCCTGAAGTTAACATGTCTGTATACTTCCATCACTCAAGCCTCTCCGAAGTAAAGATTCAAAGATATAGCCATGTTAGTCTGTAAAATCAGTATGTAGAGAGAATCTTGTAACACCTTTGAGACTAATTGAAAGAAAGAAGTTGGCAGCATGAGCTTTCATAAACTTAAGTCTACTTCTTCAGTTGCATTAGGTCTGAGGAAATGCATCAAATGCATCTGAGGAAGTAGACTGAAGTCTATGAAAGCTCATGTTGCCAACTTCTTTCTTTCAGTTAGTGTCAAAGGTGCTACAAGATCTCTACATACAAAGTAAAGATTATGAGAGTGACAGACCCAGCATGGTTTGAGTGTTGGCTAGAAATCTAGAGATCAGGGTTCGAATCCTCGCTCGGCCATGCAAACCCACTAGGTGACTTTGGGCAAGTCACATTCTCTCACCCTCAGAGGAAAGCAATCGCAACCTCCCTCTGAGGAAATCCTGTCAAGAAAACCCTGTGACAGGTTCGCCTTAGGGTTGCCATAAGTCAGAAATGACTTGAAGGCACACAACAATAACAACAATACAAAAAGGTATATTTTCCAAGCTCAGATGCAAGATCTCAAGAACGCAGTGAGAAACCTTTGTAAACGGCCTGTGTAGATATTCCCCTCTTCCCACACCACATGGAAACACATACAGATCTAATTAACTATTTATATAACATTCTCCATTTGCCAAAATTTGGAAGATGTTGAACATTGGCACGAAGGAACACCGCCCTTTGCAAAAAAAAAACCTCCCCTCCCCATGAACTGCCTCTTCGCTTCAGCGATGCAAACTCCAAATGCAAATCATTTACAGATTTCAGAATACCTGTTATT